ACTCTGATTCCATTTAACCGACACGTTAAAAGCATCAACACTTCAACAAAAGGAACTGATATAAATCTGAAGAGATATAATGTCAGAAGCCTACAAGAATATAGCACTAAAATCTTATACCAAAATAGATTAAATGAAAAACTACTCGAGAAATACCTAACTGCTGAAACCAACCAACTATACGAACATATAACTGACTGTATTCACCACGCAGCCCAAGAAGCTCTAGGCGAAGAAACCAGAACAGTCCACAGATCAGCGGGAAAAATCACTTGGAATACACAGCTTGAAGAGCAAAGAAATAAGAAACAGGAAGCGTACAAAAGATGGCTAAACACTAAGAATCTTGAAGATAAAGAAATAGACAAAGAACAGCAAAGAATATTTAAAGATATGACAAGGAACAATAAAAATGAAACATGGGATGCAAAATGTAAATAAGTTGACTGTTACATCGGAGGAGCGCGATCATCAGCGGCATGGAAACTCATAAAAACCCTGAACTAAATGAAGACAGATATTTATAATACTGACTCACCTCAACGAATACGAGTACAAGGTGAATATGTAAACGTGGAAGAAGAACAAATACAACAAGCGCTTAAATCGATGAAGAATAACAAAGCGTTTGGGCCGGAGAACATACCAGCAGAACTTCTAAAAAACGGAACACCAAAACTAATAAGCTATCTTAAAGTGCTCTTCACAAGATACTTAAATGGGGAAGAAATCCCGAATAGTTGGAGAAAAGCATGGATTACTCCAATTCACAAAAAAGGTCCAAAAGATATTTGCGGAAACTACAGATGTATCGCTGTCACCAGTACCTTTAGCAGGCTGTTTGGTAAAATCTTAAAAAACATGATTGAGAAAGAATACGAACCTCATGAAATTGAACAGGAAGCAGGATTTAGAGCTGGAAGATCTTGCGTAGACCACATATTTATCCTAACACAACTGAATGAAAAGAAAGTTGCAAGAAACCAGGAAATACATTTTTTATTTGTGGATCACACAAAAGCATATGACACGATTCCTGTGAGAAAGCTGTGGCAGTCTCTTGAATGATCTCCATTAAATAACACGATCATCGCCGCAGTCAAACAATTATACAATAAAGCATCATCAAAAATCAAACTAAACAACACCTTATCAGAAGAATTTCCAGTAACAAAAGGCTTACGACAAGGATGCTGCCTCTCTCCAATACTAATTAAGATCTATTTAAATGAAGCACTAAAACACTGGAGAAGATCCTGTTCAGGAATAGGGATCCAACTTGACGACGATACAACATTATACACTCTACATTTTGCGGACGACCAAGTAGTAGTGGCAGCAGACAAGGAAGATTTAGAATTCATGACGAGACGGTTGTTTAAAACATATGAAGAATGGGGCCTCTCTGTAAATAGAAACAAAACGCAATACTTATGCATCGGGAATGAAGTAGAAGATCTAATGGTCAACGAACATGAAATAATCAAGAACTGTGAGAAATATATATATTTGGGAACAACAATCAACAAGAGTGGGCGCACCGAAAAAGAGATAGAGCAAGGAATCGTGAAAGGAAAAAGGGTGATAGGATGCCAAAACCCGATGCTATGGTCAAAAGAACTATCAAATCAAAGAAAGCATCTCCTCTTTAACTCCATCTTTAAAAGTATAGTGCTCTATGGATGAGAAACATGGCAACTTACTAAATCCCTTGAGCGACGCCTACTTGCATTGGAAATGGACTTATGGAGAAGATCAGCTAGAAAATCAAAGCTTGATAGAATACAAAATGACCATATCAGAAATATAATGGGAGTCAAGTCAACCATCATTGACGAAATTCAAAGGAGACAACTGATCTGATATGGTCATGTGAAAAGAATGGACGACGACAGGCTGGCAAACCAAATTTTAAAATGGACGCGAAGGGAAAGAAGGAAGAGAGGAAGGCCAAAACAATCCTGGCTGGGCGGCATTCAGAAAGCAATGTCGGAAAGAAACCTTCACCCTGGCGAATGGAATGACCGACGTAGCTGGAAACTGGGAACCGGAAGGCGAAGAACGCTATAAAAAACCGGGATAATAATAATATTTATATTTAATTATTAGTTTAATATTTAGTGTACTTTGACGGGTCCGTCATAAGTAAACAACGTATGATTGGCAACAATATAGATGAAATATGCAGCGTACCTTTGTTGAACGTTAGCAGGTGTCGTAAGGAGCAAACATAATAATTTATTGAATTATTTTAATATATGGTATATAATTTGTTAAACAAAATATAAATATTAAAAAATTAATTTATTCAATTTTAAAACTATAGTATGAAGCTTCGAACTAGTCTAAAGTATTGCCTACTGTACCACCCACTTTTTTAAATGTTATGATCGTTTATAAATTAGTATTTACAAATATAAAGTTTTAAATTACAATTGATGAATGTGAACTTCCAATATTCATTGGGCACCGACCAATTAAATTTGATAAGCAAGGTTATAATATTATTTTAGATTGCTAATAATTTCATTACATTTATTTAGATTATAGATTCTATAACAGTAAGATTATTTTATGATCATTTGATGTTCATCACTAAATGTTCGATAAATCTAGAATCATCAAATCTTTCGCAGAATCTAGACGTTAAATTATACCAGCTGTGTGTCTGTACCTAAACTTCTAACTCAGAAATTATTCTGCCAATGTTATTGTAGGAAACGTTATATGACGAAAATGACTATCAGCTATTTAGTGAATAGTCCGACGAATACGATTCAGGTAGTGAGGATAAAATTGACGGTTCTACGGAAGAAAACCGTTACCAAAACGCATCACAGATCGTGCAGATCCGCCACAGCCAAGCTGCTCAAATATACCAGATAACGAAGATGTAATCATGAAAACAATTGAACATTATTATTGTATTATTCTATTATTCAGAGCAATATTGATTCAATGTAGTGACAAATAAATCTGTCGATGCTGACCAGCTTATTTGGAGTCCCGAAACTGGATTGAATTTGAAACATTTCCTATTTATGGAACCTAATCCAGGAGTGAATGTGCAAGTTTATAAAAACTATTATGATAAATCTCCGCTAGAGTTCTACGCTTTATTTTGAGACAAAAACTTGAAATGATGGTCATGGAAACTAAGACACACGTAGCTCAATGTCTGACTAAAGAAGTTACACGACGGGCTATAGTGCGTCAGTGGGAAGATACAAGTATTAACAAAATGAAGAAATTGTTGATATACTGATCTGAATGGGTCTTGTTCAATACCCAAGTATCGAATCATATTGGTCAAAAATGAACATATACGAAAATGCAATAAAATGTAATGTCGTAATGTGTAATGTGTAAATGCAATCGATTCCAAATAATGTTGAAAATTTGACATTTTAACAATAATGAAAATGTGTCCACAGACAGATTGCAGAATATATCATCTCTCTATAAAGCCCTTTGTATTGACGATACACTGGTTTCCTTCCGAAGTAGGTTATCTTATCGACAATATATAAAAACTAAATGGCACAAGTTTGAAATGAAACTGTACAAACTGTGCTTCGAAAAGGATATACATACAATATGTTCATTTATTGTGGACGAGACCGATTAGAGGGCCAATTTTCATCCCAAAAAGTAGTACTCACTCTTGCAAAGAACTTGATTGATAAGGGACGCAAAATTTTTACTGACAATTAGTATACGAGTATCGAGTTGGCATATGTTTTACCTCGCAGAAACGCTAATTTGGTCTCCAAAGGAATCGAAAGATGAATCCTAAAAGAGTTCTTGAAATAAGCTTAACATATAATATAGTAATAAATAATAGCTTAAAAGAGGAGAAACCTAGGCAGTCGAAAGCAACTCAGGTATAATTATCCAGAAGTGAAAGGACAAAAGAGATGTGCTTACATTATCCACAAAACACACTGATAAGTTACTGAGAGCTGGCAATAATAAAGAATTGCATAAACCTGCTGCTATTGACTACAACAAGCATAAAGCCTACATTGACCTTTCAGACCAAAAGTCGTATACCACCTCGTTACGCAGAGGGGTGAAGCGGTACCGCAAGCTGGCCATTGAACTTCTTATTCGTAGTGCATTAGTGAATGGTAGCAACAGTAGTGGACAATGAAAAAATATTCATAACCAAATTCAAGCAGGAACTCGTCAACATTGTTTTAGGTTTTAATGCTATTATTCTGCATACGCGGTATGTTGTTGAAAATCGTCAATATTCCTTGGAAGATGTTGGTACCAACAGCAGGCATCGATGCGGCCTTTATTGTGAAAAGATTCAAAGATAATACGGGAGAGCTTAAGTTAAAAAACCCCGCGGACAAAAATAAAGTGCACGTTAAGTGAAAACTAGTTTTGTAGAGAGAGTTTTTCCAGGTACATAAATGCATCAAATAATTTGTGAGCTTTATTATATAGTTTCATGTTTCTTGTCTGATTAATAGGACAAATATTTGTTTTATGTTGTATTTTACTTAATAAACACGTTCTTGTTTATGAAGGACCAAGACAACAACTGAGGTTCACGTGGCTATAATGCAGAATTACTACCGAGATAACTAAGGTGCGTCACGGGGCTGTTATCGAAAACAACAGGAGACACAACATTAATATATCACGGCAGCCAACGTGTTAATTTCCAAAAGTATATCGAAATCACATATATTATGAAAAGTACTTTCGTTATATGTAGTGTCAAAATAACCCATTTACCTATTTGCCTCTAAAAGACATTGATTGAACAAAATTGTTTCATAAATCAATATAAATAATATTTCAAATATAAAATTTTATACAGAAACATTGTACATACTATACGGTTTGTCGCCTGTTATCAATAATATAATAAGTACCATGACAGCTCTGTGAAAGCAATGATAAAGTAAAGTTCTTGAAATAAAATTAAACAATATAAAGGATCAAGCAAAAGGAGTGTCAACCTAATAATTTTATATTATTTATTTATAAAAACCTTTACATTCTTCATAGCAAAATGCCTTGTATTTTAAAAATATCTCGAAGACAACGTATATCTCGATAGACAAATTACCCTGAGATAATTTTGAAAACAATTACACAAACGAATTAATATTTCATAAATAAAACAAATAAAAACACGTGTACAAAGTTAGTACCCAAAGTACAATACGGTACATGATAAAACTGAATCTATGCAAGCAATGTGAGAAGTGAAAAATTTGGTAGCGATGATTTTCGATTTAAAGGATGATATGGTTGCATACATTCAGTTTAAAAAACAAGGACCTGGAAGTGATTTTAAAAGTATCGATTTTATACAGGACGATTCGTTAATAATTGGACATGTTGCTCATATACGAACAATTTAAGCAGTTTACTTGAGTCTAAACCGTTGAAGTCAAAAAGAAGAAGTCAACAAAAACATTGTTTTGTGAACTTTTTATTCGGCTTGAAACATTTTACATACATTATTATGTATATATATTTATTAACATTTAAAAACTACAAAGAATAAGTTTAATCTACGTTGTATTTGTTTAGTTGTGATTGGTTGAAACACGACAAGTGTTGGTGTTCGTAGCTCAGCGGCAAGATATTGGTTTCATAAGCCAGAGCACACTAGTTTGAATCTCGACACCAACAACGACATTTTCATTTCTAAAAATGATACGAGCCGTTCACCGTGCTTCTGAGGGTACATAAAGCCGTCGGCCCCCCTGGAGTAGTGAGCATCGATACTAGGGTAAAAATTGCAATTGGCGCCGGAACCTATATGAAAGGATCTCCCCGGCAAAAATACCATGCGATATTATTATTATTATGACCAGTTTTCGAGGAGTGACAATTGTATTGTAACTTTTATTGACATTCCAGTGCCAAGTGTGTTTATTTTGTTTGTTATATTGCTTGTTTATTTTTGCTTACCATATGAGTGAAAAAATCAGTCAATTACTATGGTCTGTTTTTTAACCAGGAGTAATTCAAATTTTCCGCGCCGCAATGCTTGTTTGCAATTGGTCCAACCGCAGGCAAGTTCACTCCACTAAATTATGACATATTGACACTAATGACATTTGTGAAACTTATTTATTATTATTTTCGTCTAATATATAAATCGATTTCTGACTCTTTAAGTTGTTTGTAATAACTTGGACTTGGTGATATGCTAATAGTATTTAATGTGATATTTTTCTAGATGATATTTATACCAAATATAGTTTAAAGTTTTTATAAATTTATAAATGTGTTATTTATATCTAATTATCATAAGAAAAACGGCAACTATCCTTTAAATTTAGTGTATACTTGTTAAGAAGCATTTCCATTTTGTTTTTATCACAATAAAAGAACATTAGTAAAGTAATGTTGTGTTTTAGTTTGATTGTATTGATACAGTTGGTTTTGTTCTTCCTGATTGTAGATTATCACAAGAAAACTACAAAACTATGCAAGAATGTAACATAATAGATTGTATTTGTTGATTATCTCACAGAAATCCAGTATTTTTTAGTAAATTATATTTGTTGATAACAAATGAGACAAACTCACTGTCAAAATTAAACAAGAATCCAGCATTAAAAAAATTGTAAGTACAATACACACTTAGATATTTATAGAAAGTATCTGGTAAGAAAATCAAACTAGATTCAAGAAATTGATCATACCAGAATAAGAATATGGTCTACTATTAAAAGACAAATTTCTGAGAAAAACCATACTTAGATCTGTAACATATGATTCTCTCGATCAAACTATTCTCTAAATTATAATTAAATACCATAGACTCAAGAGATCTATAAAACTGAATCACCCGATATTTAAATATATATACATGGGACCAAATGTGAAAAACGTCCTTTTTTATTGTAATAATTGTAATATATATATATTGGAAGTGAATTGAAAAAAATTATTTTATTATTCAAACATAAATTTAATAAAGTTAGGTTAAAATTGACGTGTGAGGTTGACCGATAAGGATTACTCGATTACCGCAAGGCCGAGATAATCAACGAAAAAAGAAGATGTATTTGGTGACTTTTCTAGTAACTTTCTTGGGTGTGAATCTGTCTTTTTGGTTTATTCCTCCTGGTTAAAAAACAGAGTATAATATACGTGAACTGTAATTACCAATACAAATTCAATCCGGACATGTGCAAGCTATCGTTAGGTTATGTTTTGACAGCTACTGCATTGTTTTTTTTTTCAGTCAAACATTATGATGATCTTGCTTTATTTGAAATTGAAATAATATTATAGTATTTAGCTATTATGAAAGTAATTTTTTTTGTGTAAATTAAGCTCTAATATATTTTTTTAGTTTTTAAACGAAGTATATAAATTAATAACGTAAAATAGATCCATTTGCTTCATTATTTTAGTTTTGACACATTAAAAATATTCGCACACAAGTATTTTTTAAGAAGTCCTCCATTACCCATAATATTGTGAGAATTATTGTGAACACATAATTTCCACAAATTACATTTGCAGCAGTTGTATATGTGTAGCATGACACATGCAAGCCGCAGGTGTATTGCATTTGGTTTTTTTTACAATCATGTTTTGGCTTGGTAAAGTAATTTTTTGGCTTATAATTTCTGACGATAGATACTACTCCTAGAAGGCACAGTTAGATCAGTACTTTCGGTGAGTATACATCAATAGCTTAAAGAGATATTACCAAAGCGTGGGGTGTAAGTCTAGGAGCCATAAACCAGATTTTGGAGCCAAAACCTTAATAAATGTTTAATTCAAATTATCGGTCTTCCCATTAATTCACACACTACGGCATATAGTACAAAAAAAGTATCAGAGAAAGCAGTTTAATAAAATATTCACTTCTTTGTTGTTCCAAATATCTATGTTTTATACTAGTTCGAATATATCTTCGATAATACTAACTGAATAATTACTATGGATCCAATTATTAACGAACTATACTGTATATTTAGTATCTTCTCTTTAGTTCTTACAGTTAGAAATATTTTATACTTGAATATTTGGGAATCTTGATTGAAAATGGATTGCCACATTAGTTTACCAGATGTTACTTAAATATAAAAATGACATACTATTTTATAATTTTATGGTTAAGCATATTAAGGATCCATTAACCCTTTAAGTTATCCACTGTTCTTACACTTGGTAGCTATATCTACCACTGTTCTTAAGTTTCTGATACTGACACCAGTTTCGCGTATGCCTGCACCAATCTAAAGGTCGTTCAGCGGTAAATATAGCTACCAGTGTGCATTTGTGTAGGGTACTTTACCAATGTTATTGTTATAATAATTTATTTTAATTTTTTATTAGTTTATTCATGGAAATATGGGCCAATAAAAAGTATATTGGTGTAAAATCGTGAAACATATTTTGCAATAATAAAATATATATTTGCCAACACATATTGGAAATAAGATATCTTTTGTAAGTTTTTGGGAAAATATGTCCTGGGTTAATATTGAGAGAAACGTTTTTTCCAATAACTGAAAATATGAAAAGACGATGGCAAGCGCTTCTCACTGCAGAAAATAGTAGTAGTAGTAATAAATAAAGGCATGGATGATACCGATGATGATAATTATTGCATGTCCAACTATGAAGGTGATTCTGATGCAGAAGACAATATTTTACCTATACCCTCTTTGACTAAGTGCATCACTGGATCTAATTCATGCACAAATACTGCTTCTACTTCAAGCTCATATATTGCTGTAACATCAGACACATCTTAATGTCATCAACAAACTCATTAAACTTTCGATTTCACAGGAAGCGATGATGAAGATTCTAACCATTCAGTTTTAGATATAGATTATTCTACCGAAGAGATCTGTACCACGAATATAAAATGCATATTATGATATACATGTACTTTCTGACAGTGACTTAGAGCCAGAAGTAAATAATAACAAGAACCGTGTGGATGTTTCATCTTCCAAAAATCGGATTAAAAGTGGTCCACAAAGACTAATCAAAAATCAAAGGCACTTACTGTAGAGGCAGATGCGCTAATTGCAGTTCAAATAATAAATTGAAGAAGACCGATCTCATTTGCCAAAAAAGTGATGTAGCATTATGCAACGAATGTTTTTCTGTATATCATGAGAAATGAAGTTTGAAATAATGTTTTTCTCTTGTACAACTTTTGTTTTAGTATGTGTATGTAGAGGTAGAAATCTTTACCAGTTATTTGTAGGTGATGGTAAATGCTCAGACTTCTACTTCCACTTAAAGGATTGCAATTATTATCATCTTTCAACACAAGATTCACTACTTAATTACATGTGTGACTAGGAGTCGGTTTTTCTACCACTTCAAAGGGAATTACCTTAATCTTGGCCAATTTGTCTCATTTTAGAGTACTGTTTAGTCTAATATACCACATCATCATCACATTTAAGTTTGAGACCAGTACCTACAGGGAAGAAATAAATGTGTAAAATTAAACAAGTGATGTACTGGTTCCCTAAATGTCAGAAGATTTTTGCTCCATTAAAATAACAGACAATATAAAACATAAAAAGGATTGTTAATTTTGTGTAAAAACTCTTGGATACTATTTTTTTATAAATTAATTTTATTGAGTAGCAATTTCCAGGTCTTGTTACAAAATCATTTGATGTAATTGATATATAAATATTAAACCTAGGTAAAATTAAAAACAAAAACAATTGATCTTATCTACTCTATCTTCTTGGTGTTGTTTGGTTTGGTTATAGATTGTGTAACGAATCCCTTTGTGCTTCCGTTCGCGTAACCTTCGTATGATTCTGAGAATTCACTTTTGATGTAGCCGTTGTTTGCGCTTCCGTTACTACTGGATTTTGTTACGCCGTTTGATTTTTCTTCTTCAAGAAGTGGCTAAAAATAATTAAATAATATTAATATACCTGGTCTAAATAAAATAAAAAAATATTAAAATTCATTGAAAAATTTTGCTCAACAAAAAGAAAAGATAAGAATATGAGAAGAAGAAGACTTGTTCGCTCCAAATATGATTCTTCCTTTTTTTATGGAAGCTGTCTGTGTAAATGCACTGCCTCTGCCCTTGCCTCACTAGAAACAGTACGCTTATTGCACATCTTCCTTTCTTTCATGATACCCATTCCAGGATTATGTAATCACAGGTTTAGTCGATGAGTACCATATATTTTTGGTGTCTGTCGACTGGGTTGTAATGCCTCGTAGGCATGCAAGGTTTGGTTGACTCAGACTGCAGCTGTATCCCATTGTATGCAGATGTCCCTTGACTTGCGCACGTCCAATAAGGAAGCCTGTTATGACTCTGAGCTGACTCCTGCTTGTTTTCCGCAGTACTTCAGTCCCAGTAGCACATGTCTGTCAGATATACATTTTGCCATATGTTTCACCGGGTACATTTCCCAGTATGAACTATGGTTTTTTTCCGGTTGCGGACGATGATTTTTGGTAATCCCACGGCTGGCGCTCAACCGAAGTATTCGGTAGCTCTTCTGGCAACCATCTTTTTCAGTGTCGTGTATTCCTCGGTGATCTGGAACTCATATAACACTGTTATGTTCCTCCACTCTGTCGAGTGTTTATTAGCTCCGATTCGATCGAATATCCGATTCAGTTTGAAAGCCCTCATGTTAAGTTCTTTTGCACACTGCAATATTGAAAAAACCTCTGCCTGAAATACAGAGGTATATTGTTCAAGTGGAATAAAACTGTTTAAATTTTCACCATTTTCCTTCATGGAAAACTTGTGTACTAAGTATCAAGGTTAGGATTTTTTCTTCAAGAAAAGGCATTAAAATAAAAAGAAAAATAAAAAGATGCTCTATTGAGGTCAATAATAGCCTTCTTCACTTCAATTCAAATATTTGAAAAGACAGAAGAATACGAGAAGACCTATTGACCTTAAATTCAATAGGGTTCTTACTTATTAAAGGGAACCTATGTACCAAGTCTCAAGATTCTAGGATTTTTTCTTCAAGAGTTATGCAGAGACTGACAGACAGACAAAAGGAGACCGACATGATTTCATTAGGGACCTTTTAGATCAACTAAAACCATATATATATATATATATGTATATATATATATATATATATATATATATATATATATATATATATATATCAGAGTTCTTTGAAGATGACAGGAATAATATTGCCGAATTCTACCAAAACTGTAGTGACGGCCCAGAAATTATGAAATGCGAAGTAGAACATGCTATAAATAATGCTAAAATTAGAAAAGCTTGTGGTCCAGATGATACACCAACTGAGTTGCTGAAACTAATAGAGAATGATTTCCCGCGGATTGGCTCAAATCCAACTTTATCGCAATACCTAAAAACACAATGCGAGAAAATGCTCAGAATATCGATTAATTAGCCTAATGAGCCACACTCTTAAAATTTTCCTCAGAATACTTCACAACAGAATTAGACGCAAATGCGAAGAAGATCTTGAAGATACGCAATTTGGTTTTAGAAATGGTATAGGAACCAGGGAGGCAGTTTTTGCGCTTAACTTCCTATTACAAAAATGCCGTGACCAAAGAAAAGATGTATTTGCATGTTTCGTGGACTTCAAAAAGGCATAAAGTACAGCATGTAAAATTAATGCAAATACTGAAAAATATCATACTAGATGACAAGGATATTCTTGTCATTAAAAATTTGTACTGGAATCAAACTGCTATCGTAAACATTGGAGATGACTACACTGATGAAATCCCCATACAACGAGGAGTCAGACAAGGTTGCATTTTGTCGCCAACATTGTTCAATGTTTACTCGGACCAGTTATTTAAAAATGCACTTGAGAGACAACCATATGGAAAAAAAATCAACGGGGAAGTACTTAATGTGATTATATATGCAGACGATACATTAATTATATCAGATAATATTGAAGGTCTTCAAATTCTTCTTGATTGTATTCACGAGGTAGGAGAGGAAATGGGCATTAAAATAAACTCAAACAAAACCAAATTTTTAGTGTTTAGTCGTGACCCACATCCCGCTGCAAAGCTTCAATTAAACGGAGTCCAAGTTGAGAAAGTTCACAAAATGACATATTTGGGAACTGTGATAACGAACCAACTAGATCCAGACATAGAAATAAAACGTAGAATAGCAATGACTAAAACTAGTTTTATGAAAATGAAGTCATTTCTTTGGAAGAAGTACTAAGGAACGTCAATAAAGACCGAGAACTACTGAAGACTGTTAAACATCAAAAAATGTCTTATCTGGGACATATAGTAAGGGGAAGTCTATATAAAATTTTACAACTAATCCTTAAAGGCAAAATAGAGGGCAGTAGAGGTGTAGGAAGAAAACAAGTTTCTTGGTTAAAAAAACATTCGTGAATGGGCTCAGATAACAAATGCAGGACAATTATTCCATATTGCAGAAGATCGAGAAGCCTTCGCAACGGTGATCGCCAACTTCGGATAAATTTGATATGGCACGCGAAGAAGTGATCTTCTATTATTAAATTCAACTAAATTTATATATTATTCTTAATTAGACACGATTATGAGATCAGAAGTTCCACAGTTTCTTTTTGAAAATATTTTAGGCGTTTTGCAGAATATGTCAATGTTGCCAATGCATGTACTGACCAAGACACCATGAGGAAAAATGGATTGCACCCTATCATTCGAGCATAGGAACATAAAAACATAGGAACCAGATCAGCCAATAAATAAGTTCGAACAGTCATAAACTTAAAATTCGTAAAAGTATTGGTGTGTTGGAAAGCTACCCAAACGTGAAATTGTAACTCGTTCAGATATTAAAATGTTATTCATGAAGATCAATAAACGAAAAAAACGAAAAGAAATTTATGGAAAACCATGTCAATGCGTTTTGAAATGAAAGGCAACGATGGATTTTACATTTATAATTTTGTAGTGCAAAAGCGAAATTTGTTGACATAACTTCTTGATCTGTAATTTCCGAGGGTGAAATTTCAACACTGTATGCTGGCCGATATCAAGGGGAAGCTAAATACTGACCTTTATACCCAGATATGTTTATTGAATATGTTTAATTTGATTAAAAACCATCATCAGAACGACGAAATATTTTGACACAATCCTCCTTTGTGTCATCATACCAAAAGGATTCAGGAATCTTTGGAGCAGAATAAAATTGTTAGGATCTCTAGAACCAACGATTTCGGCCATGAATTGTTAGAAAAATTAAAAAAAACAGACATGAACGTAGACCAAAGGAAGATTATACAAATCTTGATCAAATTGTGTTTCTTTGAAGAGGTATGAGAGTAGTCTCGAATGATGGGCTTGGAAGACTTTAAATCGTATCAGAACCGACGTAATTGTAGTAAAGACGAACAAACTGAAATGCAATCTATAAACGAATAAGGAGTATGGAGAACAGAAGAACATGGGACACTCTCTGTTATATTCTAAGTGTATTATAACATCTTCCCTCGATAGTCCATGGGTTATCAGCAGCAACTATGGTTACGTGCACACATGAACGTAATCCATTACTGGGTCGAGAACACCCAATAAAATTAAAGATGAGGCTGGTTTTGAACTCGTAAAAAATTTTAATTAAGGACCAATAACCGTTATATTGTTAAAAATTAATCTTCACAGTGTCAAATCCATACGGGAATCAAAATTGATTAACATTTTATTCCTTCCCTTTGAATTTTATATAAAAATACGTAAAAAATCATATTCTTAGCTGTAAAATGCGCCATACCCTATAGATGCATGGTAAAGGTCAAATAAATTAGTTATGGATATTTCCAGTGTTTTTTTATTTTTAATCTTTATTTGTATTAATTTTAAAATGACGATTTTGCCTACGCAAGTCGCAAAAATAAGTGTTTTTGATTTTATTGCAAATTAATTTATAATAACAATAAAACTATTACTACTTATTGTTTAAATACTGAAATACGATAAATAAATACTTTTAAAATTCCACTTGTTGAATAATTTAATAATAAATTTATTTAGCACCTTTAATTGACAACATGAAATATAATTACATGTTAAATATTATGTAGTTAAGTAATAAATAATAGGTCACAATTGATTGTAATGAAAATTACGTTTTATAATTGTTGAAAGAAGTCAGCATTGCCAGGTCATTGCGGTCAGGAAATCGTGTGCCGTTTTTAAAATTACGGTATTTTACCGTAAGAATTATTGTAGTTTGTACTAATTATTGTATTGAAAAAAATAATAGATTTAATTTTTTGTAACAATATAAACAGGGACAAATAAATAAATAAATAAATTCCTTCTATCCTCAATGCAAATGGCGGTAAAACTTTGAAAAGCGAAGCCAGTTTCGATGTCACCGCCATGTTTTGTGATTGTAAATTGCCCATTACTACCTCTCGCAGTGTTACCAGGTCTACTGATTTCAATTTCAATTTACTGATTCACTGAAGCACTATATCATCTACTTAAAAATATGTAAGTCGTGTAAGTTTATCACAATGAAAAAATCGTGTTCAAAAGTGATCATTATGTCAGTATTCAATTATAAATTTAAAAAAAATCTATTTATTTTTTAGAATCTTCTTTTAGAAGAAATAAAATATGACCTGGCAACTTTTTTGGTGCCAGTTGGTGCCAATTTAGATTTAAGTCAATTTCATACGAATACGCATCCCCTCTCTTTCCTTGTCTAAGGTTTGTAAATACAGAATACATAGACACATGCAGAGTAAGTCACAAGGCAATTTCTTCTTCTTATTTAAGTACGGTGTCCCAATCGGAGGTTGGATATCATCATCACTATCTTTACTCTATCTACTACTGCTCTGAAGAGTTCTATAGAACTACATTTAAACCAGTCCCTTAAATTCTTTAACCATGACACTCTCCTTCTTCCTTCTCTTATCTTTCCCTGTATTATCAGCCTTAGCAGTTCATATCGCGGTCCCTTCATTACGTTTTCCATATATGGTAACTTTCTTATTTTTATTGTGTTTATTATTTCGCATTCTTTGCCCATTTCTCGAAATACTTCCATGTTAGTTTTCTTCTGAGTCCATGCTATTCTAAGCATCCTCCTGTAACACCACATTTCAAAGGATTGTAACTTATTTATGTGTTCTTGCTTCAATGTCCAGCTTTCAAGTCCATACTGCAGTGTCGAAAACACGTAGCATCTCAGTGCTCTTACTCTCAGTTCTAATCTAAGGTCTTTGTTGCAAAGAATTGTTTTCATTTTTACAAACGCATTTCTTCCTATTTCTATCCTGGCTCTTATTTCGGTTGTTTGATCATTATCGTCTGAAATCCAGGTCCCTAGGTAATTGTATTTATCAACCCTTTCTATCGGTACATTTCCCAAATGTATGTTTGTTGGTATATTTGTTTTTTTTTGTTATTATCATGTATTTGGTCTTTTCTATACTCATTTTTAGTCCATATTTTTGGTTATAATAACAGCTCACTATTTTAAAACAACCTTTTTTTGAAAACAATTTCCGGAGTCGAAATCATAACGTCAAATAACAATTAAAAAATGTAATTTTCATTACAATCAATTCTGGCTTAATACCATAAAAACATTATATTTAACTTAGACATCGTGTTGTTGCACCTTGATGTGGTGATGGAGTTTGGATCGGGTAGATTGCTGATAGGAGACCCAGGAAACAGAAATACGTAAATTGTCTCTGGGAAGACCATTTACGCAATTTTACGGTAAATGGGAAAAATAATGGTAAATGGTCTCTGAAGCGAACCTCTTATTTTACTAGACTTTATATCGACATTGGGAGATGTAGTTATAGACCCTCATACTCGTTAGATCACCAGAATGGACCAAATTCATGAAAATAAAAAAACAAGGGACTGGGACCCAAAAACCAACAAATCGGATTACAAAAACTATGCTCAGAAGACTAGACTACCAGTCCCAGAGAAAAACCAACATTTAGAGGTCGCAGGTGTTTCGAGTTTTCTTATAGAAAATTTCGAGAATTTGCAGTACATCAGTAATACTTATCCGAAGTTCAAAGATGGAAACCCTTCAAGATAAAGGAATAGAATGATGACATTAGCAAGGTCATCCTACCACGAAAACGCTCTACTACTTCTCGAGTGATAACTGATGTAATACAGGCGGCTAAGCGGACTACCAAAAGTATTCCTGACGAGAAAATTACAAAAATAGCCAACCTGCAACTTCTTCCCCAAAAGATTAGGTACTGAAAGTTATATAAATATAAAACTGCTCTAATGCCAATCAACTATCTTCTTTTTGACATGATCCTGTTTATGTGCTTTTGCTTATTTCGTGATTTTCCCTGGATCCATTCTGTCTACATGATCTTTCCATATGCGCCATCATGCTTGTGTCCATATCATCATATTCCGCACTCCAGTTTCTCTTAATGTATCCTCATTCCTGAGACATTCCTCATATGGTTCTTAATACTTTCATTTCTGTAGTTATCATCAATCTTTTTGTAATCTTTGGTTGTTAATTGCCTGTTGATGGATAACTACAAATGGGTTTTGACAAAGAGTCCGAGGAACGGTTATACAGGTTGCACTTTAACCCTTATTTTCAACTACGCCATGCTAGTTTTTTGCAGTTGAACGAAAAGAAAAATAAAAGTAGAGTACCATAAAGAAACATAAGCTGCGACAATCATTTCCACGCAGAAGGGATCTAAGGCCACTCCATGAAAAGATCAAGAAACCAAATTTTATGAAATTGGGGATAATTACTGGTATACCAGACACTAAAGTTTTCAGACTTGTTACAGATTGGATGAAACGATAGGAACACGGTTTCATCCAATAGTCTGACGACCAAGATCCAAGCACAAATAAGACAGTAAAAACATAAGTAGAAAACGATATTACATTTCTTTGTATTTTAGACAGCAGAAATAGTGAATTATAATTAACTAAAACCACTCCGCACACTCATTCGTTTCCTTAAGAACATTGTTGTTTTTTTTCACAAACAATGTTCGGTATTTTGGTTTTTCTTATGATTTATTAACAATAATAATTTATTATTTAATACTTACCATACAAATTCCGTTATCGCTTCTTTTCACAGCCTTTTTCGGGCCCATGTACTTGACTTTATAAAAGTCGGAGAACAAGAATAGGAACATGATTCCGTGGAGGGCGATCCACACCATAAACGCTTTTGGATAATTACACTCAACGAACATAAGTTGGAACTGGTGAGTGAAAATAGCGACGAATTGAACCTGAAAATAAAATTTTAACAAATAGTTTATTTTCAATCAAAACTAAAACAGTTATAAAAGGGTTTGATTTATAAAATCTATAAAAAATTTAAATGACAGACGGACAGGACCAGAGAAAGGGTATAAAAAGTCCTCCATGATTATAATGCTGCAGATAATAAACTAAAACTAATGCAGACAATCATAAAGATATATATGACTTTACATTAAAGAACAACGAAACAAAACTATCAGAGATACAAAATAATCTGCGATAATCGACATATTCATTCAGAGGATAAAACAACATGTTACTTGAAAGAAAAAAAGAAAAACTACAGAAAAATTAAAACTATTCATTGATTTTGAAAAACTTCATGAGTCTTTTGGAGATTAGATTGGTTGGTGTTTTCATAAGATAGGGTAGATTTTTGCTTATTAGTCAATCACAGTGTATATTATTAGAACTTGTCTATACATTATTTTGGTTTTGATTATGAAACCTTTAGTCATGCAATTAATACACGACAACATACTATATGTACATATATAATTTTACAGGAAAGACATTTTTCTCACACAGTGTGAATCATGGTGACTTCATAATAACACACAAAAATTAAACTTCAGATTGACAAGAATAAAAAAGTACTTTGAGAGATATATATGTGATAGAAGTATTGTGTGATATAAAAATTATAATGTAATTTTTAAGGTATATTCTATAATATATGGAGAATATATTTGGAGACACTTTTTCAAGATCAAAGAACGGATTATAGGCATCAATTTTCAGAGAGGATGACATACTTAAATCCGAGGTAGAAGAAGCAATATAACGGATGAAAAGCAGGAAAGCTGTAGGGCCTGATAATATCGAAGCTGAATTTTTAAAACTCTTGGAGGAAGAAGGGATAAATTGGATCACGGCTGTCTTCAATAAAATATACAATACAGGAATTATCCCTGATGAATGGCTAGAATCAGAATTCATAGCGATACCTAAAAAACAGGGGGCTAAAAAGTGTGAAGAATATCGAACAATCGGCCTAATGAGCCACTTGTTAAAACTGTTTCTTAGAGTCATCCATGGAAGAATTTATAAGAAGTGCGAGGAACAAATATTGGACAGACATTTCGGCTTCATTAACGCAGTGGGTACCAGAGAGGCACTTTTCGGAGTACAGGTACTGATTCAAAGATGAGAGGGACGTTAACTGCGACGTATACGCGTGCTTGATCGACTATGGCATTTGACAGAGTTCAACATCAGAAGATGATAAACATTTTAAAAGAGGCAGATTTGGATGACAAAGACCTCAGAATAATTTCAGAACTCTACTGGAATCAGACCGGTTACATGAAAATTAACAATGCAGACACAGATCACATAAAAATAGTACGTGGAGTTAGACAGGGATGTATCCTATCGCCGTTGATATTTAATATGTACTCAGAGAAAATTTTTAACGAGGCTCTTTACGGAATAGACGAAGGCATCCTTCTAAATGGTGAAAGAGTAACCAATGTTAGATATGCCGACGACACCATGGTGACAGCAGATAGTTAGATTAGCAGTAGAGGGACTTCAGAGGCTAATGGACAGAATAAATGAGTACAGTCAACAGTACGGACTAAACATTAATACCCACAAAACAAAACAAATGATTATCAGCAAGGAGAATATAAACGGGGCTCATCTATACATTAATGGGACGCAGATAGAGCAAGTAAAACAGTATTGCTACCTGGGAACTATTATAAACGAACAGTGGAGCAATGTACAGGAAATAAAGTGGCGCATAGGAAAGGCAAGAACGGTCTTTAACAAAATGAGCGCCATCTTCAAAAGTCACAACATATCCCTAGATACAAAAATGAGACATTTGAGATGCTATGTTTTCTCTGTGTTGTTGTACGGGGCGGAGGCATGGACGCTTACAGACACCACTATTAAAAAACTTGAAGCATTTGAGATGTGACATTATAGAAGAATGCTGAGAATATCATGGACAGCAAGGATCACGAACAAGGAAGTTCTAGGAAAAATGAAGAAGGAACCAGAGATTGTGTTTACGATCAAACGCATAAAATTGCAATATCTGGGACACGTTATGAGAAATCAGCACCGTTACTCCCTACTGCAGTCTATATTGCAAGGTAAAATCAAAGGTAAGCGAGGTCCAGGTAGAAGGAGAATATCATGGTTGCGGAATTAAAGAACATGGTTTAAGAAAACCTCAACGGAGCTGTTTCGAGCCGCAGCGAGCAAGGTTATGATTGCCAATATGATTTCCAACATCCGAAACGGATAGGAACCAGAAGAAGAAGAAGATTCTATAAAGTCACAGATATTTAAAATGAAAAACGTGAATATCTACCCAAATTTGTTTTGTTAAATCAAAATAGTAAATGTCAATATACTTTTTTAGTTTAGTATTTTTATATTCAGTTTTTAATTACTAAATTTTAATTCAGCTCATTAGAAATGCCAATAGAAAATTTTTTCAGTACTTACAAGTTGTAAACTAGTCAGGTACTTCTTCCACCAGATGTATTTTTGGTATTCTGGACCCATGGCAGCAATCATGTAATAAAAGTACATAATAATATGAACGAAAGTGTTTAATAGGGCAAAGAATGTACTGTGGCCACCTACAAAATACAAATAAATGAATATTTCCAAAAAATTGGTATGGATTCAGTTATTAAAATAAAAAGGCAAATTTACAAAGTATCAGATTAATAATAATAATATTTATAGCTGATTCTCCATTGTAGGTTTACGTTCCTATAGAAGCTAATTAAGAAACATTAAACACTCTTAAATCTTTCATAAGAAATTCTAATTTTAATGTTTGCCTCTTCAAGATAATTTGACACATATGGTCTATATCTTTTAATGGCTTACTATGGCTCTTTCCATTCTCCTGGATCATATATTTATGTCACTATAGGTCAAGCCAATTTGACGCGTCATCACTTTGGCACATTATGACACATCACTTGACAAATTATACTACATTGACGATCATAGAGGATTGATTAGAAGCCAGCTAAATTGCAGAGCCAAGTGTTTGGCCATGATGTGGCCAAACATTATCATACGATATTGATTTCTTAATCGTATCAAGAAATTTGTTAACTTGTACTTGTGTTAAATGAAAACAACAGTATACAAGGTTTGTTAAGAAAAGGTAAGCTTTTATTTTTTCCGAAAAAATTATTTATTTATTAATATTTATTTTATCGCGTTAAAGTAATCTCCTTGAGATACAATATACTTTGCAATTATTTTTTCCAATCCTCCAAGCATTGTGGTATTTTTCTACTCAATTGGGACTAACATCCGCCCTTCCCTGTTTTCTTTTGTTTTAGTTTTGGGAATAGGAAAAAGTCGCAACGGCTCAAGTTCGGGGAATATGGTGGCTAAAGCATAATGGACAGAGCTGTTTTCAGACAAAAAAAGCAAATAACCAATGATGTATGAGCTGGTGCATTATCGTGATGCAACACCCATTACGTGTTATTCCATAATTCCAGACCTTTCTTTGTATTGCTTCAAGCAAATCGCGCATAACGCTCTATTCTTCACTGCTTCAAACGTTATTATCGGTTATTGATATCCTGTGGCCTCCAGGCCCGGCAGCGTCATTTATATCTTCTAGGCCTTTTGTGAAGGCTTGTACCACTGAGGTATACACTTTTTTGCAGAAAGTAGACGTACCAAATACCACATCAACATTTTGAGTGCGTTAAAGCACTTAATTAACACATATCTTAATAGAGATTCCTTTATTCATTTTTTTTATTCAGTAACACAAAATCGCCAAGTACACCTAGACACGTATAACCTTTACATCTGTCAAAAACACAACTAACCATGCTATAAATTGTTGATAATATTAATATATATTATTGATGTGCCAGATAGTCAACAAGTTTTAACGAAGTAAATCTAAAACGTTATATACGTTTTTTATCAACCATCAACTTCGAGCTTTTCCGAAGTTTGCTAGTTTTCTCTCACTTGAAAAAACGTTTCTTGGCTTATTTCAGATGCCCCTAAAGATGTTCTAAGAGCGAAAGTACTTGGGCAAAATTTTATAAGAAACTGAGTCGATATCTGCCTTCTATTTATAAATTTCATATATATATATATATATATATATATATATATATATATATATATATATATATATATATATATATATATATTAAGAACATGTGTACCAATATAATAAAACATAAAAAGTTAAAATACGCAGTCTATGAAATTTGAGGTTTAAGAAAAAGCTCAAGAAAAAAGTATCGGACTTACGGCTCCTTATAGACTCTTGTGGACCTTTGTGTCTAGACTATAGACATATTTTTTACAAATAAGAAACAGAAAATGTGATTATTACTTGATTTTAAAAGTGACAACTAATGAAAAGTTTCCAGTAATGTTCACTGAATACGTTATTGACAGACAAAAAAAATATATCTAGAACAAAACTAAAAACTAAGATATATTTATATGAAACAATTGCAATTAAAGTAACAACAAAAAGAGAACAAAGGAAAGAAGTAATATTTTCTAGATTGGTAATAACTAGAGGCTGAAAACTAAAATAGGTAGATCGAAAATATAGATAATCTATGTATTTAATTAGGAATAAAGTATGTTAGGACTGTTACAAATCTTACCTGGAGCAAATTTAACTCCCATCCATACTGAGAATGGCATACAACCGTGGTGGATGACGTGTAGCGTGGATACGTGACTATTTTTTTTCCTTAAAATAAAGAAAAGCGTATCGAAGAACTCCGTAAATTTCGAGAAATAGTACCACCAACACGTCCTTGCCATCTGAAAAAAAAAATCAAAATTTATTAAATGCATCTTCACACCTTAAAATACATCTACACCAGATTCGGTTGTAAGGGTTTGATATTCAAAAATTTTAAAACAATTTCAATTTCAAAATTTCAAAAAAGATTATTTTAAAACAATCTTATTCACATTGGCCATATTTCTGTACAAGATCCTATCTACATCTTTTGCAAATTTTGACATTAAAATCCTTATGTTTATAATTTCGTCGAAGTTTAAGCATTTAATGTTATCTAAGGGCCGTTTGTTCGAACGTTAATCAAAACTTGATTGTAATCAAATATTTAATTACAATCAAATACGTCACAGCAGCTGTCAAAATTATTAAACATTTCTAATTATTATTATTGATTTGTAAATAAAAACATGAAATTAACATCAGAAAGAGTTCAATTATGGTTTATTTTAAATTATAACGCAAAATAATAAAATTGAATAAAATAAATCAGTCAACATAACCCCAAAATGTGACGTATTTGATTTTAATTAAATATTTGATTACAATCAAGTTTTGATTAGCGTTCGAACAATTGGCCGAATCTAATCAAAATTATTATTATAATAATAATAATAATAATTATATATATATATATATATATATATATATATATATATATATATATATATATATATATATCTTTTACAAAGGATTTTTAAATAAAACTTTAGTAAAAAACTATCTAACACATACATTATATTTTAATACTTTTCATGGAAAATGAATTCTATTAAATTTATCATATATATGTTTTAAGGTGCTCATATAGTGTCGGACCCTAATTTACGATCTTCCCTTAGCCCGCTTCAAACACCTTGACCTACTTAGTCCGAACATTTCCTCCAGGATAACGCAAACAGTATTGCCGAGTTTTAGGTCACAGTAATTGAGAGAAATAGGTTGAATTATTTTTATTTTCGTACTACTAAATTATAAACGCGATGATTGTTTTTCAAGTGAAATAATTGTGTTTAAAAATAAGTTTTGCTGGTGTGAATCGATCTGGTATATAAACGAAAAACAATGGTAATAAGCGATAATAGATATAATATTATTACTAAAGAGTATTATGTCGATAGGTAAAATGCCAAAGGGTGTATTTTAACAGATATTTCCCGTATCGAGGGCCCGGAAAGAAAATTCAGTGAAAATATTTTTTTTCTAAATCACTTTACTAAATATTAAATGCAATTAATTTAGGAGTATAAATAACTATATACCCTGAATTTATATTTTTACCCAACCAAATGAGAATTAAAAATCGGTGTATCCTTTCTTTTCATTTTTAGTAAACCGTTAAAAAACATTTTTCAAAAAAGTTCATGTCATCAAATTTGGTTGCGTTGATAGTTTTAAAAATGTGAAAAAAAAAATCAATTCCTTCACGTGAAAGTTGGAAGGAAAACAAAAACAATATTTAAAATGTTAACTCGCAATAACAATAAATAGGTAATTAGAATAATAATTCCAAAATAAACCGAACAGCGGAAACTGAACACACTTTTGAAACTCCAGAAATAACAACAAATGAATTAATGCAAATAAGAGAAACTGAGATCTGTATACGAATCAGTAGAGTAGAGAGGGTGAGTCAAGTCCCACAGCACTTAAGCTATAATTAACCCATTGTGCATCCTTCCAGGAAGCTGTCATCCTTAGCTTATTATCCATGGCACACTTACTGCATAGAGTCTGTAGAGGTGTTTCTTAGTTGACAACGACCAGATAAAAAACCAACTGTCAAGCGTATTTGCTGGTCATTTTAAGGTTATATAGTGTTACCTTGGTAAGTCCCAATTACTCGTGGTGTTTGTTGTCCTTCTTCCCAACTTTTCACAATTTTCGTGTGGGAGTGGCTATTGACAATTTTCGCGATTGTTGTAGTTGACCAACCAAACAGATCTATATGTTCTAAGAGTCTTAGACCTTCCACCTTCCTAGCTAGTTGGTCAGGATTGCGGTTCCCTTTATTCTTATTATGTTCTTGAATAGACACGTGATCTATTCAAGGTTAGTAGCGCTTGTCTGGTATCCGTGCAGATTATTATGATTTTCCCGGTTATGACTTTTTGTTTTGGGATATCTCTTTTGTGGCTATGAAGATAACAGCCAGTTATGTCTGAATTACGCTGTCATTTTATTCTTAAGTTCAACGATCTGGAGTATATCCCGCATCCTGAGCGGTCTTCCATTTTGGAGCCATGGGTATTACACGATAAACCAAACACCAGAAACTGAACATTCTCTTGAAACTCCAGAAATAACATCAAATGAATTAACGCAAATAACAAAAACTGAGATAAGACAAGCCATAAAAAAGTGAAAAATAGAAAGGCGACCGGAAAAGATAAAAAGGCGGAAGGAGTTTTAAGAAATAGTGTAACACAGCTTATACTAGAATGAGCTAATGTTTAAAAATATATTAATGTCTTCAAGAATACCCGAGAAATAAAAAAAGAGTACTTTTTCTTCTTGCGTTTAATGTCTACTGTAGAGCTTACTGATCAACATTCACAAAGGTTTCGTAGTCAAGAAATTCTTCTACATTTCACGCTTCTTCGTCCAACTGTATTTGCTTACAGTGTAAGCTGTAGAAATTCATCTCTTTTGCCTCTAGACACGTGGCCATTCCAGGTTCAATATTCTGTCTTTCCAATATTACCTGATTTGTGACTCTGTCCGTCCAGGAGATTCCGAGAACGCGTCTGTGGATCCAAATTTCAATAGTAGAGGTTTGTTGATTTAGAAAAGGCTATTAAAAGAGTGTGGCTATCGGATGCGATATACCTGCTATTGCAACGGAGAAATATTGCATATCATAAAAATATTAAAGAACATATACGCAAGAAACAGAACCGAAGTAAAAGTTCAAACAGAATCGACTGAACCGATAGACATTAGACGTTACAACTGGACTCAGACAAGGGAATTCATTATGTCCACTTATATTTATTATCATATTCTACGAGATTGCAAAACTAGTAAAAATTAAAAAAAATGCCAAATTGACAAAAAAGAAATAAAGATAATGTGCTACTCTGACACTGCAGGTCTGATAGTAGAGAATGAAGATGATTTACAAAAAAAAGGTAATGGTGGATAGTAGAACACGAAATATGCAATTAAATATAAGAGTAAACAATAACAACATGCAAAAGGTGCCCAAGTTCAGATATCTCGGTAGTTGGATAACTGAAGATCTAGATATAGACATGGAGATACGTAGCAGGATTGACCAAGCCAGAACAGCATTTACTAATATGAGAACCTTGCTAAGCAACAGCAGCCTCAACTTATTGCTTTCATATCGCTTTGTAAAATGTTATTTACTCCATACTGCTATATAGTGTAGAAACCTGGACCATAAAGGCCAATGTGATGAACCGATTGGAGGCATTTGAAATGTGGATATTTAGAAGAATACTTAAAATTCCCTGGACAGATCACACAAAAAATGTCGAAGTATTAAATAGAATGTGCAGAGAACGGGAATTGCTGTCAATAATAAAAAGAAAAAAAAACTGCTTATCTGGGTCATATATTTTGAAATTCCAAGTACCAGTTCTTAAAGCCCATTATGGAAGGGAAGATAGAAGGAAAATGAGGCATCGGAAGAAAGAAATACACGGCTTAAAAACATAAGGGATTGGACAAACCTCGATGCCCATGAACTCTTTAGAGCCACATAAGATCGAGAGGAGTATGCCAGAATTGTCGCCAATATCCACTAATTGGATAGGGTAATAAATAGGATTGGATAAGAAGAAGAATAGCTGGGAATAAACTTACAACTGTCGAGCGAAGATAACATGAAGAGAAAGTAAGGAGTAGCGGAAACGACACAATATGGAGAATATACATGTCTGTAATCATGACAAGAAGATATTTGATAAGAAATGAAATGAGAATTCTAAGGGGAATAACCAGAAAAATGCTACTAGATCTAACAAGGAGTAATGAGATTAGAGACCTATTCAGAATATACACTATTCATAAATTGGTGCAAGAAAGAAAAAGAGAATGGAACAGCTATATCAGTTAAATGGCAGAAAACAAAGGAGTGAGAACAGCTCGGGAAGAATAAGCACAGCTCCACGGAAACGATGAAATGATAATATTCCACAATGGTAGGATGTGACGTCGAAGAAAAACAGGCAATTTGCTATCTAAAAGTAGAAGAAGAAGAATATAGTTTCTTAAAAAGAGTGTGTCTGATTTACTATAGACCTTGTCAACTATTATAAAAATAACAAATAAATAACACAGCAAATAAGTTTAAATAAATAAAAATTAAGTGGATTTTAATTAATTAAAATAAACTAACAAATGCTTATTTACTTGAAAAATTAGTCAAAACTTCCTTATTGGATATTTCCTAAAAGTAATTTATGAAAATAACAAAGCTTTTAAACATTAAAACGTCATTTATCTATTAAAAAATATTTAATGGTGTTGTAACTCAACATTAATTAGAAATAAAATAAAAATAATAGGAGAGTAATAATACTTTGTCGAAGTAATAAAAGATTTTTACAAAATTCTTAAATAAAAGAGTTAGATGTGATGATATAAAGTCTTAATAGCCATTGATTATTTATAATGATAATCAGCAATTACTTTGTAGTAGATCAGTAGTTGTGAAACTATTAAATTCAAGAATATAACTTTCACCAATATACTATTACGCTTTAAAATTATTACGTCTAAAAAATATGAAAATACGGTCTGGACTGTTGTTATCTCTTTCTTTAAATTTTATGTTACTATATCTATTTCTAGATGGTAGCTTGGTACATACTTAATCATGACAGTGATAAGAAATTATCTTTGCATTTATGCTCTCTTATGTTATAATCCTAGAGGCGTTTTACACTAAGGCACATGTTTTGCCAACCAACGTACATCCTGATTAACGAATTCTTGTAACTGTTTTTCGAAAAATTCTTTTACGGCATTTTTCTCTGATTGAAAACGATTA